TAAAAGTTTATTTAAATATTAAATCCCTTATATAAAAACTAGCTTAAGATATAAAGCAAATAGGCGCAGAAACTAAAAGTTAATTAATAAATAAAAAAAACTATTAATAATATTAATAAATATACTTAAAAGAAAATAAAAAAAGTATAAGGATAAAATAAATAATTAGCTACTAACCTAATCTATAATATCTTAAATAATATAAAAAAACTATAATATAACTTAAACGTCTATTTAAGATAGGTAAGCCGTAAGATTATAAATAGTATAGCTATAATAAAATATTACATTATTAAAATAAAAAAGTAATAAAAGGATAAAATATATAAAAAAGTATAAAAAAAACTTTTAAAAAAATAAATTAAAATAAAAAAAAAATAATATATTTTAATAAAAAAACAGATTATTATATAAAAAATATAAATAAATATAATAAAATAATTAAAAGCTATCTATAAAATGCTAAAAAAAAAGGATAAATTAACGGTGCAGATAGAATAGAATTTAGCGGCTATATAAATATCTTTAGATAAAAAGGCAGAAGGTAGCCGAAAGTATAAGCTTACATAATCCATAAAAAAATTAATATTTAATATAAATAATAACATAGGTAAAAAAAGAGCTTTTATAAATAAAACAGAAAATATACCTAAAGATAAAACGGAAGATAGTTTTAAAAATATTTAAGCCTAAAAGGATAACGTTATAAAGCTACACTAATACAGTACCTATTTTAGCACTTAAATAATAAATAATAAACACTAAGGGGATTAGAAAATATACCTATATAAAAAAGATTGTAAAAGTAGAATATTAGTTAGATATAATAGTTTATAAGTTTACTTAAAAAATAATTTATTATATTAAGAAAGATTTAAAAGTTTTTATTTTAGCTTAAAGGTAGTTTTTTAATCTATAAAAACTTTTATATTAGCGTTTATAAAGACAGTAGTTTTAGTTATAGGTATAATGGTTAATTAGGACGATTATAGGTTTTCTTTAAGGGGTAGTTATTAGGTTAATAATAGATAAAATAGATAGAATATCTTCAGTTAATTAGTATACCCCTATTAAAGTTAGTTAGCTATATTAGTCAACTACATTAATCAGCTACATTAGTTAGCCTATCTATATAAGCGTAGGCTGTAGTTAGTTACTTAAGGAATCAAGCTCTCTTTTAACATCAACCCTACCAATTACTTAAATATTTAGCTTAGTTTATCCGCTAATATAAACCAAAATCTAAGTTTATCCCTTAGAAATCCTAACTTATACTAACATATAGGTTTACAGTTTATTACACTTTTTCTTTCCTACACTAATATATACTATAAGGATTATAAAAATAACTTTATTTTTATAAATATAATAATATAAGTTTAAGTAAAAATAAAAAAATAACTAAATATATAAGTTTATTTTATTATAATTATTTTAAATAGTTTAAATAATTTATTATTAATAAAATATTAAAATTAAATATAAATTATACTTTTTATTTTACTTTTATATATTTATAATTACAACTGCTTAAAAGCTACTTTTTATCCTCTCTGCTAATATAAACCTATAACTTATACTTATTACTTTAAGAACCTTTACCTTATATTAATAATAAGGATTAGGATATTACACTTAGTTTTATTACTTTAGGAACCTTTACCTTAGACTAAGAATAGGGATTAGGACGTTATAAAAAAAAAAACCATTGGCTAAAAGCTAGCTTTATAATTAACTTAAACTCAATTTTCTGTATTTTATAGTATTGTTTTTATAGTTTTCTAATAACAGGGGCAGTAAAATAAGACTTTTGGTAGCCTCCGTAATACTTAAGTATATTAAAAACATAAATAAAAATATTATAGCTTAATTCCCCCTTCCACTACTGTTTTTAATCCGCCGTCGAGGTTTACTACACTAAATCCCCTCTGACTAAGAATACGGTAAGCTAAGTATCCTCGGTAACCTATGTAGCAATACACAAGAGTAGGAGTAGATTTATCAATCTTAGATAACTGATTGCGCAATGTGTTAATTGGCAGGTTAATTGCCCCTGGGAGATGACCCGTTGCGAACTCTTCGGGTGAGCGAACATCCACGACTTGCCAGGCTTTTAGATTTTTGATGTTAATATCTTCGGCATGTATAATCTGATAGTCCCCGCGGAGTAAATTCGAGCCAACAAATCCAACCATGTTCACAGGATCTTTAGCCGAGCCATAGGGCGGTGCGTAGCTCAGTTCAAGATGTTCCAGGTCAAAGACAGTCATCCTAGCTTGCATCGCGGTCGCCAGGACGTCAATGCGCTTATCCACACCAGCTATTCCCACCGCTTGCACTCCCAGAATACAGCCCGTGCTTTTTTCGAAAGCTGTTTTAATCGTAATTGGAGAAGCGTTGGGATAATAGCTTGCATGGTTTGGAGGGTGCACTGTAACATAAAGTGGGTCTTGCCCTAAATAACGGAGTGCTGAGACGGATAGACCCGCTAACCCGACTGATAAATCAAAGACCTGGCAGATAACTGCGCCGATATTACCGCGATAGCACACCGGCCTGCCAGCTATATCATCTGCGGCGATTCGACCCTGTCGATTTGCTGGCCCCCCTAAAGCAACTACCCCGGGCTGTTGTTGAATGATATGCTTCGTCTCAACCATATCTCCTACAGCGTATATGTCTTCGTCGGATGTTTCCATGTGTGATTCAACCTTAACTCCCTGTGCCCCTATTTCTAGGCTCGCCAGCTTTGCCAGTGATGTTCTCGCCCTTACTCCAACAGCTAGAATGACCAAGTCGGCAGGGATCTCTCTTCCATTGCTAGCCAAAACGACATGGGAGTGTTCGATCCTCCTTGCAGTATCATTTAGGTATAATTTTACACCATTGCGCTTCAGCTCTGTGTGAAGAACCTGCGCGATATCGGCATCGATTGGAGGCAAGACGTGGGCCGATTGTTCAATGATTGAAACCCCGAACTTTATCTTTCGCAAGTTTTCGGCCGCTTCAAGACAAATGAATCCACCTCCAATGATACAAACATCTCTCAGGCATCGTTTGAGCATCATAGTTCTAATGGCTTGCAGATCCGATATAGTCCGGAGAGTGACCACATGACTCTGATCTACTCCATCGATCTGCGGCTGCACAGCTTCTGCGCCTTGGGATAGAATGAGCTTGTCATAGTCGACTCGCCGGATCTCAGCCTCTCCAACAATTCGCGTGCAGACTTGCTCGTTTATGCGGTCAATCTCAACAACTTCGGTGTTGAGGTAAACATCGACGTTGAAATACTCCTTGAAGTACTTTGGTGTATGTAAAATTAGAGCCGCATCATCTTTTATTACCTTGCTCAGAGCATAAGGTATGCCGCAGTTCGCGTAGCTAGTGTAAGGTCCTTTTTCAAATACTGTAATCGTTGCTGATTCGTCAAGACGGCGTAGGCGAGTGGCAGCGGACATACCTCCGCCAGCACCACCGACTATGACAACCTTTTTGGACATTATAAAAGATTTTATTCCTTTTGGAAAGAAAAACTAATACATAAACGAAATGTTCGTGTGCAATTAAAAGTTGATAGAGCACGAAGCACTCGAGCGTAATTGAAAGCTGATACAGCAATAGTAGTGTTGCTCCTGTGGTCTTAAAATTCATAATCGGCTTTTTTTTTTTTTTTTTTTACCAACCAAAGCATACATTATTTTCTATTTATATCTATAGATATTCCCAAAACTATAGGTGGTCTGATTGTGAAGTAGCACGTGAGTAACTAAATGCTAGTCTCTACGCCATGGGCTGATAATGTAATCATTTTTTATGAGAGGGCTAATAACATCATGTTTTTTTAAACACCTATAGTAAATTAAATGGGTCGGATTGCCCTATGTTTCTCTTTGTATTTGATTAATACATAAATGTTTCCTTTTAGTCTTTATTATAGTATAACGGAAGCTACCTCGGCGCAGACGCTTAGTCTGACGTAATGTCATTTTAAAGTCACTCTTTTAAACCAATAGTCAATATTATTACCAAAACGTCACGATCGTGTGATTTTAACTTTAGCGTCATTTAGTTGTCTGAATGATTGATCCAGACGAACGCCAGGACCTATAATTTCAATTCCTTATTATTATCAACATTAACAATCAAAGGCTTGAAAAAAAGACGTATATAAAGATTTTCAGAGCACTTATTCCCAATATACTGTGTCGCCATAACGGGGCTTTAAAGCTCATCTCCTCAAAGACCTTTTACCACAGCCCAACCTGCAAAATGGCTTTTTTCCAGCGCCCCTTTTACGCCCCTAAGACATCCTTTACCCCTCTTTTCCGCCTTCTTAAGGACTTTGATAATTATTCTCGTCAGGGTAACGCTTAACAACTAGATCGCCGCTCTGGCCTGGCGCACTGGCAACCTAAGTTTGACGTGCGCGAGACTGACTCCACCTATGAGCTCTATGGCAAGCTGCCTGGCATGAGTAAAGATGATGTGTACGTCGAATTCACTGACTCTCAGAGTATACTTATTCGTGGTAAAGTTGAGAGGGCATACATTTCTGGTACACCGCCTGCTGGAGCCTTAGAGGGAACTACGACGAGCGGTGCCATCGCTGAGGGCGGCGGAGAACAAACCGAGCCATCTTCTTATAAAGCAACCGTCGAGAATACAGCTGAGGATACTCCTGCTGCTGCAAACCCCTCTAAAACGCCACAGAGCGCCACGACAAAGAAACCTGCTGATACGGCCAAGTACTGGCTCACTGAGCGTAGCTTTGGCGAGTTCTTACGCACCTTTGACTTCACTACGCCTGTTAACCCAAACAGCGAAATGTTATTACCCGAATTCTAGAATTCAAAATTTCCTTCCTCATTCAGATACCTAAGCTTACGCTGCTTTAACATAAGTAGCCCCTGAGTATAACCTGAGTAATCCCTGAGTCGGCCAGATTGTTACACTTTAAGTAGGGCTTTGTTTTCTTACACCCCTTTTACATCTTTTATAAAATATACAGATAGGGTATTTTCGGCTTACTGGATACTGATAAATAGAATATGCTAATTAGATCTTACTGCTATAAGCTTACTTTGGATTGGTACTTATAGGTAAGCGGGGAGGTCCCGGGAGACCTACTCGGTAATATAGAGTTAGGCTATTTATATTTTAGGTAGTTAGGTAGTTACTATATAACTGCGCTTAAAAAAGATACTTATATATAAATATATAAGTGTATAAGGAATATTATAGATAATTTTGGCTTTTATAGCTTTAATAGAGTTTAATCTCTCTGACTGTATTAGTATATATTATAGCTATTAGGATAATGTTTTTAATTAACCTAGTTAGTATTAAAGTGTATATTTATGCAATTACATAGCTATTACTTTATTTTATAAGCTAGGTATTATTTTATTAATTAAGTCTTAAGGAAAAATATTTATTTATAACTAATTAAAGTATTTAAAAAAAGATATTTAAGCTTTAATAAAAAATTAATAGTTAAGTAATTATAAATTAAAGCTAGTGGGTTTTAATATTTATTATATTAGTATAACTGTAATAATAATAGATTTTATAATATTTTAATTTCTATTCCTAGTATAAAGTAAAAGTTCTTAAAGTAATAAACTTAAGTTATAAGTTTATATTAATAAAAAAACAGAAAATAGTTTTTAAGCAGTTATAACTATAAATATATAAAAGTAAAATAAAAAATATAATTTATATTTAGTTTTAATATTTTATTAATAATTAATTATTTAAATTATTTAAATAATTATAATAAAGTAAATTTATATATTTAGTTAGTTTTTTATTTTTATTTAAATTTATATTATTATATTTTTTATAATATATATTAATATAAAAAAAAAGCTATATTCTTATTAATTATATTTACTTATAGTTTTACTATAGTATATACTTTTATTAATTTAAATTATAATATAATACTTATTTTTATTAGTTTTACGTTTAAAACCTATATATTAAATGCTGCTTAATTTTAGAGTAATTTAATTTTATAAATCTTTACTTTTTTTATATTTGCTATACTTAAAGGTATTATTAAAACAACGTTCTTTAAATTTAAAAAGTAAATTAAATTACTGTAAAGCAGCAGTTTTAATAATTAAAACTATTAAATTTTATATTATATTTTATTTTTATTATAAAGTTAATAAACTGCTTTATAAAATAGTAATTAAATATTTCAGGTATAAAAAATACATTTATTATAGTTATATCTATAATAAAAATAGAATTTTATTAATTAATAGTAAGTAATTTTTTAAATTTTATAATTAATAATACTTATATTAATTTTATAATATAACAGTTAATTATTAAAAAGAAATATATAAATATAAAAAAGCATTATATAAAGTAAAAGCTATTATAATAATAGTAATAAATAATATTATTAATTTAATAAATAAATAAAAGATTTATTTAATTAACTTATTTAAAAAATAAATACTGTTGTAATTATTTTTTAAATAAGTTAAATAAAATAAAATAAACTAAGTTAAAAACAATTATTAATATATAAGCCTTTAGTAATATTAATATAATTAATTAAAATATAATATTTAATAATATAATTTAAATTTTTAATAAAACTTTTTTATTAATATTTAAAAGTTAAAGCTTTTAATAAATTTTTAAATATTATAAATAAATTTATAAATTTTTTATTAAACTAAATATTTAATTTTATTATTATATTTTAAGTTTTAATATATAGTAAATATTTCTTTTATATTTTAATTTTTTTTTTAAATATTATAATTTTATTTAAAATTAATTTTTTTATTTTTTTTTTTAACTTATACTTTTTTTAATAATAATATATAAAATACTAAATATTTTAATTTTAAATTTTTAAATATTTTAAGTTTATAATTAATTTTTTTAATTTTTTTTAAAATTTTAAATAGTTTAATTTTCTTAAAGTTTAATTTATTATTTAATTAATTTATTTTAATATTTAATGTTTTATAACTTTATAAATATTAAAT